TTTTTATGTGTGTGAGTGCTTTGCCTACATGTGTGTAAGTGCACCTGTATCACGCAATGCCAGTGGAGATCAGAAGACGGCATCAGATCCCCTGAAACTGGACTTACAGCTGGTTGTGAGCTGCCGTGTGTGTGTGTGCTGGGAGTTGAACCTGGGTCCTCTGCAAAAGCAGCCAGTGCTCTTAACCACTGAGCCATCTCTCCAGCTCTTAAACCTTCATTTTTGAAAGGAAAAACCAAAAATCTTCAGGAAACATGCAGGAGAATATCATGATCTTATAATACAACAGGATTTTGTTTTATTAGCGTATATCGATTATACATAATAATGAATTTAATGGCACTTTCATAATGTATGTGATGCATTTTGATCATACTCAGTCCCATCACCCCATCTTCTCTCTTCCCACTCCTCCTGACCGCCTTCTTCCCAGGGAGTCCCCTTCTGCCCTTATGTCTCTGCTTGTCTATTTGTGGGACCCAATGAATGTAACTAGGATTGCTTTTGTGTTTGGTGGGGTTTGTTTGTTCGAGACAGAGTCTCCATCCAAGATTGGCCTCAACCTCACTATGCAGCCTAGGATGACTGGATTTTTGATACTCCTGCCTCCACCTCCTGAGTGCTAGGATCACAGGTATACAACAAGCTTGGTTTATGCAGTACTGGGCATTGAACCCAGGTCCTCACGTATGCTAGGCAGTCACTCTACCAACTGAACTACAGCCCCAACCTATTAAAGGAATTCTTAAATGGCACACATCCAAAACTAACAATAAGGCTGGGTGTGATGGCACATTTTATCCCAGCACTCAGGAAGCAGAGGCAGGCAGATCTCCGAGTTTGAGACCAGCCTGGTTTACCATAGAGAGTTCCAGGTGGCCCCAGAGGCCCCACTACAACTAGATGGTAAGACCCTATTGCTTAAGACACAACACGCTTTGGTTTCAGGGCATGGAGATATCAAGGTCTGAGCTGATGGCTTCCTCCCAGCTGACCAGCTTTGCAGTGCCCAAAGTTGCTATACAGGCTAAGGGAGAAAAGTAGTTAATGGTCTTGCCCAGCTGTGAACCCTGTGAGCTCCAACACCAACCCACCCGGCAAGACACAGCCATTGGTGCAATAATGATGTGACTGTTACGTGGGTAACAAGCCACTTTCTGGTTGGATTTGAGGCCCATTCCACAGGAGAGAGTCCATGTCTAGAACTGTGAACCGGTCAAAATCTCAGGACTAGGGAGGTCATAGGCCCAACGGAGGAATCTACCATGGTGGTTTTGCTAAACAATCATGTTGACAAATGGCTTCCTAAATGTTTAGATGGATACCCATACATCAGTGCTATCTCAAGCTTGGTCAGAGAAAGGACTGTTGAGTCATTAGTCCTAAGCAGCACATCTCTATCACCCCTTCCAAGACTCAGGGAACATCACAGAACAGGGAGTGGGAAAAATGTAAGAGCCAGAGGATGGGGAGAAGTCTTGTGAAATGCCACGCTCTGCACATGACACAGCCACTGTGTTCATGAATGCACAGCCGCCATAGTTGCCTGCACACAACCTGCATAAGTCAGTCAGCATTCCAGCACACAGGCGGGGTGTGGGGCTCGTGACCCCCAATCCCTAACTGAGGAGCTATTGACAGTTGATGACAGCTAAGCTAGGGGAGAGTCAGTTTTCTTAATGGTAGGTTGCCTATGCTCCCGTGGATGATCCACGCCCGTGTGCATGTGGACAGCACTAACCGAACTCAGTGGGTTGTATATTTTTTAAACAGATGGCACGAAGTTGGGAAGGCGATGTCGGGGAGTCTAGGAGGAGTTAGAGGGAAGAGTTGGAGGTGTATATGATCAAAATACATTGTACACATGAAGAAAGTAAAAATTAAAAAGGAAATGTGCTATAGCCAGGTGAAGAGGATCTGAGACCTGGGAACACTTGCATGTTACCCATGCCATGCCACTCTCAAAAATAGCTCACCAAGCCATGGTCCCCTCCCATGAGATGTAACAGTGTCACCTTCGTGGCAGTATGGACTCCCAGTCCCAGGAGGGACGATCGGAGTGGACTGTGCTGGATCAGGTGCTCACCCACTGTTGAAGATTAATGCATCTATCGACGCTTGCCGGAGAACTTTCCTTATGCAGCAGATGGTGATTGACACAGAAACTTACGGCTTTCTGATGTGTGGGGAGGAAAGGGCCGCAGAGCTCTTGTCTCTGAGCAGGACGTCTCTTTCGGGCTTCTGGAGCTGCAGGAGTCATTGCAGAGGAGGAGGCGGAGAGATTATGGGAGGTGGTGGATGACCATGGCGGGGTAGGGGGACAGAGTTCTCCAGACAGCTAGTCAGTTACCCGTGTGAACTCACAGCAATGGTCATAGCATGCACAAGTCCTATGTAAGCTCCAGTAGATGAATTCACACCGGAGAACATTTGGGAATTCAAGTGAGACACTATAGGCTTTATTATCCAGAGAGAGTGCATTCAATTGGGGGGGGGGATGTAGGGAGGTGTGGATGGGTGAGAGGACATAAATGTCATCAAATTATATTGTATGGAAATCACAAAAATTCAATAAAAATGCTAAAAAAAATAGCTCACCAAGATATGCATTCTCATGCCCCAGGACATGTCATTTCTGTACCTATGTGCCCACAGGAAAACAAGACGTACATACTTGTCCTAAAAGATGTAATGGTGAAATGCGTGTGGTCGTTTGTGATGGTGAACAGCGCTGGCTGGTGCCCATTGTGACACACGCAGCCTTAGGTAGTGGACATCGGTGAAAACTAAGAGCCCAACGCAGCAGCGACTGGCCTCAGAAACAGGACAGAAATGAGTGAGAACCTCTTGCCATCACATTAAACTCAGATGCAAGTCAAATGGGGGAGGGGAGGAGCTCAGTGGCAGACCACTTGCCTAGCATGTGTGAGTCCCTGGCTTCTTCCCAGGGCTGGGGAAAAAGGCAAACCCAAACAAGGTGTCATTCAGGAATCCATAAATGGGCTGCAGAGATGGCTCAGCAGTTAAGAGCATTTGCTACTCTTGCAGGGGGCTGCTTTTCCAGTTCCCAGCACACACCTGCATGAAAATCCAGCTCCAGGGAATCCTAATCCCTCTTCTGGCCTCAGCAGGCACCCTCACACATGCACACACACACACACACACACACACACACACACACACACACACTCTGCGGTGGTTTGAATGAGAATGTCTCTCATGGTTTCAAGTTTCTGAACACTTTGTCCCAAGTTGGTGGTGCTATAAACAGAGGTTTAGGAGGTGGGCCTTGCTGGAGGAAACACACCACTGGGGGCCTTGAGAGTTCATAGCCACGGCCCATTTCCAGTCTGTCTCCTCTTGCCTGTGTCTGCTTGAAGATGTGAGCTCTCAGCTTTCTGCTCCAGCCACCTCCTGCCACACCTCCCTGTCATGACAGACTCATCCCTCTGGAACCATAAGGCCAATACACTTTCCTTCTATAGGTTCCTTGGGTCCGGGTGTTTCATCACAGCAGCAGGAAGGAACTAATACACACACATAAGTAAAAATGCAGTAAAACTCACTCACTGTGAACTAAAGACTTGAGGGAGATGAAGCCTTTTTTATGATTTTCTTATTCAACTGATAAACCTCCCCCTAAGAGCTTCCCTTGGGTAAAATTTTAAGATTTGTTACATAGGAAGACTCCGCTGGGATGACACCAGGAGGTGAAAGTATCATGGTGACTTTGCTCTGAAGGAGAAAATTAGGATGTTTTTGATTTGTCCCTGAAAATATTGGGAGGATAGCAAAAGCAGATGGCGTCACGTGACCGATGGCCTCACCTCAGACCAGACCCCCGGTGCAATTTAGAAATGTACAAGCCATTGCGTTAGAACCGTGGAGATGGTCACAATCTCTGACGACAGTTTCCTTTCCCTCATAAATGCTATAATAACTTCACCCTTGGCTTAATCCCATCTACACAGTTCTTTCCAGTTATCTGTTTACTGTCCATTGACACGGCACCATCTTCGCTTGGGAATGTGTGCTCTGTCTCTCCAGCCACAATCCCACGCCCTTCAGAACCTGTTCCTGCATCCCCACCCATGTCCAGATTTGTATCCACATGCTTACCCTTTACCCTGTGATTTATTATTGTATGTATGTGAGCACAGTTGTGTGTGTACGTGTGTGGTGCATATGTGTGAGCACACACGTAGAAGGCAGGTGGTCATCCTCAGATATCATTCCTTACATGTCAGTCTTCTCTGGTTTTTTGTGACTGGGTCCCTCAGTAAGCTGGAGCTCCCCGAAGCAGGCTAGGCTGGCTGGTCAGTGAGCCCCAGAAATCCTCCTGTCTCTGTCTCTGCCTTCCCAACGCTGGGATAAGACACATGCCACCACACCTGGTTGTGTAAGTGGGCGCTGGGGATCGAGCTCAGGCCCTCGCGTTTTCACAGAAAGCATTTTACATTTCGGAACCATCTCCACAGTCCCTAGTTACTCATTTTCTCAGGGGACAATTGGAATTCTGAAAACAGCAGAGTGGTTGGCTGTGGTTACAGATCCCAAAGATAGTCGTGGTGGCGAAACTGGGGACCCCTCCAGGAGTCACGCGAGGGCTGTGGGTAAAAAGGAAGTGGCTGGCAGGGCGTGGGGAGGTCTGGCGAATGGCGCTCACACACTCACTTGCAAAGCCCCACATGCAGGACACTGTCCTTTGTTACCAACCCCCACTCCCCTGCTGCAGCTCATCCATCCGATCTTGCCCACTTCTATGTGCTGCTCAAAAAAACCGTGTATCCCAAGACTCCACCCCATGCTGTGCTGTCTGAGTGGCTAAGGAAAACTCAGACAAGCATCCCACTGTGCTGCACTGAGTAGAGCCAGTGTAGACACTGCGTTTAAATGGCCTCTTACTAAAAAGAATTACCCAACTCATCTCACACACATCCACCAAACACCAAGGCTGATTTTTTGACAGCTCATGTTTCTTTTCTATTTCTTTCTTATAGATAAAGAATTCATCTACAGAGAACGGAAAGGGTCCGTGATACTGAGGAACGTTGAAACAAATAATTCTACGGTACTAATAGAAGGGAAAAAGATTGTAAGTACGCTGTCTAATGACCAGGATGATTTCAGGGTTTTTTTTTTTTTTTCCCTCTTGCAAGTCAATAAAGCAGAAAATGACTTTAGGTTTCAACTTTCGGCATAGCCAGGAGAAGCGGTAAACCTGTCACAGCACCAGCTGAGTAGGGGAAGAGGACATGAAATTGAAACCACGCTAATTTAATAAGACGAAAGCTCACTTTCTTTGGCGTCTGGGAAATGCCTCCCTCTGCAGGTGTTGTATATCAAGTATAATTGAAAGATAAAGTCCTAAGGCTTTTACACATTTACAGAACAATAGCAGTAATACCTACAGAACACTTCAGGAGAACTTGCTCAATCTTATTTAAGGGGAAAAAAAGCCTCCATCTGCATAGGGAATATTAACTTAGGCACCGTAACTGTACCCAGGGATATTAAGTGATGGTTGCATTTTAAAATAAGTGCTGAACATGCCACCTTCTCATCTGGGAAAACTTATTTTCCCTGACACTTAAATGACATTAAGATTTTGGATTTGTGTATGAAGATATTAGAAACATTGACGTTACGCACCAGAAATCGCAGAAAGCAAATTAACTTGGTTTCTTTGTTTATAATACACTCTTGCTCAGTGATAGACGGGCTTTATCAAGTCTGGGAATGGATCATTTTCTTGTCTGATAAACTGGGGAATTCAGAGGAGGAGAGCAAGGTTAAATGTGTAAGAATCAAGAACTGAGATTCTGAGGCACTCGTAATAAAGCAGCTATGGCATGAGTCAGATGAACGAATCTTAAGACTCCTGTAATCCGGGTAAGAAGACCCGTAGAAAAGGTCAGTGGGCTCCAGAGCAGGCCAGCTGCCAGACGAGCCTGAGTCCTGCTGATAAGGGAATATTGGGGTGTCTCTGAAAGTGACGGAGCCTTCCTCTGTTGTGCTTAGCTTGAGAGACTAGGGTCCTGGAAACTCAACACCCACCAAAGCCACCGCAAGCCAGAGGCTTTGGGTTTTCAAGTTCTTGTCTCGAGAATTCATGGATCACAGAGGGTGAGCTTTAGAAAGGAGGGTTTTATTATAGGGAGCTTAGGGGAGAGAAAGAAGGCAGACTCCTGTACAGCAGCCAGCGTCTCCGGGAGTGGGGTTGCATTAAGCCTCAGTGCTCTAAAGCTAATTAATCTTTAGTGGGTGGAGGAAGACGGGGAGGTGAGCTGATCGGTGCAGTTCCCATTCCAGGTGCCCAGGTCCCTCAAGGTTCTGGTCATGTCTTCAGCATGTCTTCCAGAGAACAGAGTACTCCTTTAGGGAGAAGAGATGGGGCAAAAAACAGAAGCCCTTTCCTGGCATTTCCAGCCCCTATGGCAGAACCAGAGACAGTTTTGGCTTAGACATTTCTATCATCTCTGGTCTCAGGCAAGGGTAAACGTACTGGGAGGCCCAAGCACATTTCCAGCTCTTGGCCAAGAAAGAAACTGGTCACTTTTCTTCTGAGGTCTTTTTGCCTAAACCTCTTGAGCAATTTCTGTCCTGTTCTCATCACGACAGGATGAGCTGGACAGGAGCTCCGTCCAGTGGAAGAAATAGTGGCTCCCTCATCAGGTCGCCCCATCTTGGCCCCAGAAAAAGGCCTCTCCACGTTTCCCCCTGAGAGATGCTCAACTGGCCATTTGCACTTTTCTGGTGTGTTTCTTTCTGCTATGAGGATCCCTTTGTTTTTAAAAATTAGGCTCGGCCTCAATGAACTCTGCCCCTTATCTAACCACTGGTGCAAGGACCATCTGGCCCTGCAGCCTGAGGAATCACTGCTAGGACCATTGCAGAGTTGAACCAGCTCATATTCTCTATAGAGGACCCAGGAGAAGCCATGCACCTGAGTCCTTGCATGAAAAGGTCGTCTTGAGCACTATTAGTCCCTTAGGAAAAGTTGACCCAACTCACTTACAAAGTTTTTAAATGTTTTAAAAGTTTAATCAAGGGGAGAAAATACTCTGTTGCTGAGGGTGCAAACAACACAGGGTCAAGATGTGCCCAGGAGGATGTCAGTTTAGTCCAAGCAGGGTGCTTAGGACGCCTGTGTGGAACCAGGAGCCATAGACCATCCTCTGTTCCTAAAGCCAGCAGCTTATAACATGTAGTGTTTCATCTGAGGCTGTGTTAGCCACACAGTGAGAACTCACCATAGATACATACAGATCTTCACTGCACACATTAGCTGGCTTAATCCATTTACCACAGCCTTTATTGCCCCGAAATGTCACAAATGTACTCATTTACAAATGTTTATTGGACACTCAACATGTGCAACCTAATCAATGGATAATTTTTCACTCAAAGACACATTTAAATGCCACCAGAAACAGAATTTTTTTAAAAGGAACTCAGAGTAAGTGTCACTTAGAGGCCTGCACTGCAATTCAGATGCAGAAACTCTGGATTTCAGTTTTTTCTGAGTCATTTAGTTGCTTTAAATGTTTGTGCTGCCATTTCCTCATTTCCAACCTAGTGCTAATTTCTCCTGCCGGCCCGGTACACACATCCACTGTGATACTCGGGACCAGGGTACGTGCACACCCTCGGTCTCCTGGAGAAAGTGAGGCAGGGTTCCAAAGAGGCCAGAGTGTGTAAGATCAAGGGCTACCTGCAGGGCGGGGTTCCCGGGACGGAATCCAAGGAACCACGTTCCCAAGGACCACATTCTGTTCTGTCTTCTGCCTTTGCCAGTTTTCTTGCTGTGGCCAAAAAACCCGACAAGAAGCAACTGAAGGGAGAGATTCGGGCTCAAGGTTTGAGGGGACAGAGTCGATTGTGATGGGAGGCACAGGGGCAAGCAGTGGTTGGCTCTGTGGTGGCTGTAACTTGCTTATTCATGTCTCAGTGGATCCGGAAACAAAGAGCAGAGCTGGAAATGGAGCCAGCCTAGAACCCCCAAGGTCCACAGCCTCCAGGAAGGCCCCACCTCCCAAACCAGCACCACCAGCCAGACACCCAGCACACAGGAGCCCGTGAGAGTCATTTCACGTCTGAACAGTAGCCCCTTCTCTTGGCCGACTGGACGGCTTCTTCTCATCTGATTTCCAGAAACTCTGAGCTCATTTAAGTAATAAAGGCAACCTGAGACCCCTGTGAGGCTAACTGTAATTTTCAGGTTGGTCAATAAAACAACCCCAAACAGTAGAGATATAGAAGTTCTGAGTTCTGCAGAACTATAATGTGCCCTGCAATCTCTAAAGTCACCTCCTTTCCCTAGCCAGTGGAAAAAGAGCATTTATACATAGAGTCTCTTGCATCTAGCCTCCCTTGGCATGTGATGACCAGGTAGGAGGAGATGCAGCACTATACCGATTGGTACAGCCGAGGTCACTGTCTGCAGGGCTGATGCAGATCTCAAGCTGGCTGTGTCGTATCTCCCCCACTCAAAATAGTCTTGATGGAAAGCCTTAATTCAGTCATTGCATTAGTTACTTGTCTTGTTGCTGTGACAAAATGCCAGCAAAACCAGCTCAAGGAAGGGAGGTTTAATTTGGCTTACTGTGTGAAGGAACATCATCTGTCACAGAGAGGGAGGCCAGGCTCGTGAGGCAGCTGGTGACCCTAGGCCACAGTCAGAAAGCTGAGGTCAGTGCTCGGCTCACCTTCTCCAGTCCAGAAGCCCAGCCCAGGGTGGTGCTGCCTGCTTCAACCAACCTCACCTAGATAGTGCCTAACGGGCATGCCCAGAGACTGAATCCATGGTCATTCAAAATCCTGCCAAGTCCATGAGCAATGTTAGTTACTGCAGATCAACCCCTTGTTAGCTTGACCCGAACATGTCTCTTTTAAGCTATCACCTTCTCTCCTTCATCCCCATAGGCCCATGACCATCTCGTAATGCAAGATGTATTCAGTCCAACTTCAAATCTATCATGGGATTTAACAGTTTCAACACTTTAAAAATATTTTATTTATTATTTTTATTTTATGTGAATGACTGTATTGCCTGCATGTATGTAAGGGCACCTATAGCATGCAATGCCTGCAGATGTCAGAAGAGGGCATCGGATCCCCTGGAACTGGAGTAATGGGCAGTTGTTAGCCACCATGTTAGCTGGGGATTGAACCCAGGTCCTCTGCAAGAGCAGTCAGTACTCTTAACTGCTGAGCCGTCTCTCCAGTCTCCAGCTCCAAGACTACTGAAAAATCTAAAGTTTTACTGGAAGCTTCAGTTGTCACCCACACACCTGGGAAGAGGGAACCGCAATTGGGGAATTTCCTCTATTGGACTGACCTGTGGCCAGGTCTGTGGGGCATTTTCTTGATTGTTGAGTGATGTGGGAGGGCCCAACCCACTGTGGCTGGTGCCACCCTGGTCAGGTGGGCCTGGGTTATATAAGAAGGTAGGCTGAGCACAAGCCAGGGGAGCAAGCCAGTAAGCAGCGTTCCTCCATGGCCTGTGCTCCAGCTCCTGCCTCCAGGTTCCTGCCCTGAGTTCCTGCCCTGGCTTCCCTTGATGATGGACTGTGAACTGTGAGCCAAACAAACGCTTTCCTCCCCAAGTTGGTTTTAGTCTGTTGTTCTTGTCACAGCAATAGAAAACTAGGATGGAAGTCCAAGTCTCATCTGAGACTAAGGCAATGTCTTAACTTCTATAAAGTAAAAAGCAAGTCGCATACTTCCACTCCAGTGACAGAGTAAAGGTTCCCATTCCAAAAGGTAAAAATGGAAACATAGCAAGAAAAGATTGGACCAAAGCACAGCTGCAACCCAGCAGGGAAAACATCCTGTGGCTCTTTGTCCAGCATCTGGGGCTTTATTAGGGGAGTCATTAACACTGCGTAGAGTACGGTGGGGATTGGAAGAGAGAGAAAGGTAACATTCAGTTCTGTTAGACAAAGTGGAGTTCCTACTTTTAAAGGTTTCTGAGGGAGGGGAGCGGTCCCACATCACAAGACTGCAGCCTGTTAACAGTGACCCTGTGCTCGGAGCCTGCAGTCGGGTTGTCTCTGATTCCAAGGATTCAGAAAGAAGGGAGAGGATTGGGTC